GCTCTTCGCCTGCCCAATGCTAACTAAATTGTTTACAGAATCTACATGAACTTCAGCTGTTGCATGAGTTTACAAGCACATTTTGTTCTACCCAACAAAATTAAGGTAACAAGTTCTTTGCAAATTAGGTAAGGGCTTAATTACAGAGGCTTACATTTTTGAAAAATTTGGCAGTTAAATGTTACTTGACATTGCTAAATGGCGTGTTTAAAACACGAAATGGTTAAATGATGAAATGGCGAAATGGTACGAAAGATAAGAGCCAAAGTTATATAAGATATAACCACTCCAATAAAAGTTGCAGTTGTTGCCCAATTTATTCTGTTTGGGGACAGAGCATTTGATTTTTGAGTTCAGAGGGTGTGGACACTTTCTTCTGAGGAGGAAATTTTTTTCTGCATTGGTACTTGTAATTGTTTTGGTTACTACTTTACCACTTTTCCCATGCTTATTTGCATAAGATTTCCTTCTCCTAATTTTAATAATAACGTCATAGCCGCTGCTTGATGGTAAACACGAGATAAACAAATCGTTTTCTTCCGAAGTCAAAATTAATGCCACCATTTCGATCACGAATATCCTAGGCATCTCAAACCGTGCCCTGTTAACAGAGAGAGACTGGCATCCAAATTACCCAAAGGTCCGTGGCGGAGAATTTGTGGTGCTTACCATTTAGCAAAAAAATCCGGAAATTTCGGTTCAAAGTCAAATGGAGCAGTAGTTTTCCTGAAAATCAGTTTGGAAATTGTAGACTACCTCCAGAGGTAATCCTCTTTTGCTGTTTCGAACAGAACAACAGAAACTCCTTACCATTTGGTAAATTTTCCAGTTCCCAGTCTTTCATCAGCCGAAAAAAAATTATGAGAAATTGAATTGCAAATGGTGGGCGCACTCCATTCAACTAAAATTTCCAGAAATTTTGGTCTGAAACTGAATGGATTGGTTTGGTCCAACAGGAAAAGTTTTGAAAAAATCGGTCCACCTTTCGAGGTGGACCACTTTCCTTGGTTGGACTAGTCCAATCAAAATGGACCATTCCATTTGACCATTCCAGCCCATTCTCAATCTCAGTACCTCGCTGTTCGGTATTTTCCATGTACAACATGGAGGAAAACAATTATCATTGCAGCTTTTATGGATTATTAACAGTGGATCTATCAGCATTACTCATACATCCATGTGCAGTTACAACAGGTCCATAGCTACTTCGCAAGCCAAGTGTATGTTTCTGCTGTTAACGGCTCTTAAAGATGATTAATTTCCTGAGAGAATTTGGAATGTTTTTTTTCGTCATTCAAAAGTGGTGTTTGAACTCATACAGCAAATATCTGGGAGCGGTCTGCTCAAAATAACCCGTTATACTGGTTAAATTACTACGCATGAAACAGCTCACACAATATTGATATCCCCGTCAAAATCATCATCTAGCTCTAATATGAGCAACAGTGATCCAACACCTCCATTTTAAATAAGCATGAAACTCGTTTTGCAAGTGGAATAGAACCTGCCACGATCCATTCGATGCCACGAAATTTTTGAATCTCAGCCCAGAAATTTTGGTTGAATGGATCATGCCCAAAAAGCGCCATCTCGTTTGGTTGGTTTGTTGATTTTGGAAAAACCCTTACCATTATTCAACGGTCATCCCAACTGGTTCATTCTGACAAATGGTAAGCACCCTAGATGTTTCTTTTATTTGTCGGGATTAATCTACAGAACAAATTCTGCAACAGATGGAGATTTCATTGGCTCTTATCTTAAGCTCTTATCTTTAACACCATTTTACCATTTTGCCATTTCAACATTTCGCTATTTCAACATTTCATGTTTTAAACACGCCCATTGCTAGAAGCACAGAAAGCTAAGAACTCCATGCTACATGGTTTGCACAAATCTACCAGGGCCTCCTATGAAGGTACTCTTGGGAGTATGTCCCCATCCCAGTTAGGAGTGCAAAACAAGATCATTTTGAGGTGATTTCAAGACAAACATCACAACAGATCAGGCATGGGCTTTCATATTTATCTAGTATTTATGACCTGTTTGAGTTTTTCAGAGAAAAAGCTTGAAATCAAAAGCGACTATGACGGCGTATTTTGACAGACCTGGTCCACAGAGGGGGTCCATGGACCCCAGCTTGTACAGCCTTTTAGCCAGCTTCTTCAAACTGGCTGGAACTGGAAATTTGACCATGACACACTGCGTTATGATATCCTAGAACAAAATAACTGTTTTTCTGGCGCCAAAACAGGCGTTGCAGTAGGTTTTGTAGCTTTTGTAGAATTCAGACAATTTAGGAGATTTTCTCAGAAATTTGTAAGTTGCTTCAATGAAATTCAATATCAAGAGATGACAAGAAGTCATTTATAAAAACAGATGAACGAACGAATCAGGACTTCAAAACCCTAATTAGGCCCAGTCCAAACATCACTCCACCAGACATTCCAACCCCTTTTGAAGGAAAATAGGGAGACTCTTTCAGTGCTGAAGGTGGCAGCCTCCAGGGGGGTCTGGGGGCATGCCCACCGGGAAATTTTGCAAATATAGGTTTTCTCAAATGCCTTTTCCTGCATTTTGGAGCTGCTAAATGGACTAAGACTGCTGGCCTGATGAGTCTGCACAACACGTGGTGAGAGAATGGGTGACATAGTATGAGAAGAAAGTGTAATGTATCGCAAAAACGTACTTAAGATTAGCATTTTTCCCTAGTTTTCACAATTTTATGATAAATCAGGAGAATAAGAATCAGGAGAGCGGGAGGTAACACATCAAATCAGGAGCCTCCCAATCAAATCGGGAGGGTTGGAATCTCTGCTCCACTCATGTGGCAAACCAAACTTGATTAAGTTCGACTTTAAAGGAACTTTGGAGCGATGGCTGGTTCAGACGGTGTACTTGCGTCTAACTTAATTTGGGAAGCCAATGGTAACAATTTTCGACGAGAAAATATGCATTCTGAATTCAAGAACTCGATCTGTCCAAACAGAAAAGCTGTGACTAACATTTTGTTAGGAAGCAAATTCAAACTCATGGTTCAGTGTTTATTTATGTGTTTAGACAGGTTTTCTCCCGGTTAATTCGACTTGTTAAAGGGAAATCTCATAAGCTGGGCTATTATCGCAAAGAAAAAGCAAAAAATGAATTTCCGCTAAAGAAACTCGCTTTATACAGTCCAGTTTCTCATATAAAATCGAAGGCATATTTTGTTTCTTTATTTTTAGCGACAACTTTGAGCTTCATGCATGACTGGTCATGTCACTCAATTTTGAGCCGATCACAAGTCCCGTTATATGAAAATGGAGATAATGGAGCACCTGATGATCTGCAGACATGGTTCACGTTCATAAGGAAAGAGCACGTGGTTCAAATAGCAAGAAATGAGCATGATGTACGCTAGAAATGACAGTGGCATCGAGTGTGACTTCTCTGATCCTGAGGATCCAGGCAATGCTGTGGAGAAGAATTTGGAAGAGGCGCAAAACGAGAACGCGGAAAATCCAGAAGTAGGGAACTATGAGGCCCCCGGGGAGGACAACTGTAATAACTCAAGGAGCGGCAAATCCCAGGGCGTGGCAGAGACGACCCCCGAAGATCAGAAGGGGGAACATTCCGGAGAGTTGTAGAAGAGGATGTTGGAAATATCGTCAAAGGAAAATTTCATTGATCTGGGTGAAAAAACTTTAAGGAAAAGAGCACGCTGGAGTAAAAGCCAAGCAAAAGACTTTTTAAAAGTCCCACGATTCAGCGTAATTATATAAGGCCTATATATGTTGCGAGGAGCAGTTAGGACAGTAAATGAAATGTACGTAATTTAGTACAGTTTAAACATAACTCAGAGATTTAATTAAGCTCTCAGCCAGTATGCTCCTTTTCTTGTAAGTCTATAATTCTCCAACTGAGCTTGACATTCTTTGGCCACTTGAGCCTGCAATGGTCTCAAACCACCATTTCTAGCATTTCAATGAATCAATGTAAACACGATCAGGACCAAAATCGCATACATCGAAATATGTTTAAGCTCACCGTAAATGTTCAAACTTGTAACTATAAGCGTATGGTTACTGGACTACACAGACTCAAGTTCTAAAAGACTTCACACTGTTCTTTCAAAAAGTTGTCAAAATAAACTTGCTCCAGTGACTCTCATACAGCCTGCGATGTGTTGTTAGTGTATTTTTAACTTTTGAGTTAACCTCAGCTTCAGCGTTTTTATATACATGGATATAAAAAAGGGTTCTTAACGAAACAAGAAAAGTGTACAGCAAACGTGTTCATGATTATATAGTCGATCGTTTAGAGTCGTTTTTGTAGTCTTACTGTGCAAAATGTATGGTTTTCAGACCGATTTCGGAGTGTAGAACGGTGATTCTAAAACTTTATTTTGTATGTCATAATTCGTGCATCGTGATTTGCGTTAATCGGCCAGTAAGTGAACGTGGTTAAACATGGAGACAACGGGTAAATTTGTTGAAAAGAATGCCCTGGCGATTCGATCATGTAAATAAATCAGTCTTCTGATATCACCCGAGTCTGGCAAAGCAAGTTGTGGTGAGACGATAAACCAGCTGAAGGCCGGTGATTGCTGCGATGGACTGGCATCCCATCCAGGGGGGAGTAGAAATACTCCTAGTCGCTTCATGCTACAGAAACCGGGATAAGCTCTGGCCTGATGGGCCACTTGGCTCGAATGCAGACTTTTACCTGGTGATTGTTGCCGAATGTAATCGTCGGGCCAATCATGTTTTGAAAACACGCCGGGTTCTCTAAACTGCACTTAAATCGGCTGTAGATTTACGTTAAGTACATCTTACGGCCGCGTTGTATACATTGTACCCTTTCAGCTGACTAACCGGTGAAAAGGAAAGTTTGAAGTCGCTACTTTTTGGACGGGCGTTACTTTAAGGTTGTTGCCTGCCTCGTTCCCAGTCTCCGGGAAGAGCGGGTAACAAGGAGCGAAGTGCTTGATGGTTAGGTTGCAGGTTGCAGGTTGCTCAGATGCACCGCGCTCCAACAAGAGGGACGCCTGGGGAAGAGGCAGAGGTGTTGTTACTTTGAAAGAGCTGCTAATTCTATTGAGTCTTTATTGGTAAATGGCAATAGTGGATGCGCAGTAGCTATGATAAGAAGTCACTCCTTATTGGTCTGAGAAATTACGGGGACTGAATGACAATATAAAACAGAGGGCAGACATTCTGCTGCAGAACAAGTCTAGCCCTGGAAACAGTACAGTGGAAAAAAAAACATAAATCCAAATTGTTGTGCAAACATCATGATCGTGTCTTGTAAATCAACTGAAATCGAGATTACAACAGAAGAAGCAGTTTTGACAGAGGTACGCAGTTTTTATATATACGCTTTATCATTCGGCAATTTGATTTTCAGCCAAGTCAAAGTAAACCGTTACAAAATTCAGATTTGAAAACTTTATCATACTCATTTCTAGGGTGGATGATTTTCTTTATTTTAATTAAATGATCACTGATTTGTGTGGATGGAATCCTAGTCCACATCAACGCTCAAGTCAACGAATCAAAACATTTGCGTCAGTTTTCGAAAGAAAGTATTTTCAATCTCGTGTGCTTATCATAACATAACCGGCACAGTAGCCATTGATTTAAGTAAGGCCTTTGACTGTCTATCACATGACTTAATTCTAGAAAAACTTAGTATAGGTAATCATACGGTTTCGAGTTCAATTTGGAATTAATTTGCACTTGTGAGTTTTTCAAAAAGCTGCAATTGCACGAGCGGCTTCGGCTCGTGCAATTTCAGCTTTTAGAAAAACTGACAAGTGCAAAATAATTCCAAATTGAACGAGAAAAGCCCGTATGATTACTATCTTTATTTTTTCCCTTTATATATTTCCACTGTAAAACCTGGTTGGTCTGTGCCAGTGAGTTTTCATAAGTAGCCTTTTGAGGCCACATTGTCCAAGAATTTCTTTTACATGTAGAACACAGTCAATACGTGTATTTTTGTAACAAGAGGTATTTTCATTGTCCAAATGTCAAAAAATCAAATGCGTACATTCGCATTTATATAAACAGATTTTTGACATGAAGGACTCCCATGCAATTTTGTGTTAAGCATAGTTTCAACGGAGAGGAATGCGGCATGGCAAATTTATAAAAAGATATCCCCGCAGAGACAAAATCCAGTGTTACCTAGTTCCTAAAGGTGATCGTACACAATTTTAATATTCTAGTAAGCACCTCCCCCCCTCCTCCGCCCCCAATCAATGGTCCACCCCTAAGCTCAATTGAAACTCTCTGAAGGGTAACAAAGCGGAAAGAGTAAAAAAGCCATTCAAACAAGCAAATTCACAATATTGCACACCGAGGTCGGCTAAATCTCTTCTGACTTACGCAACAAAACGGCCAAACCCACAGGAAGTTATAAAACGTTTTCAAGTTGTACTGAAGAGACATCCGAGGTAGTTGTGGATGTAGCCTGTGTATGAGGTCTGTTAAGTGGTTTTAATATTCACTCAGTAAAATCACCTGCCGGAGCAGCAGTTATAGCTTCGCTGCCAAGCGCAACAAGTAAGTAGCATTCAGTTGTAGTTAAATGTAAGGATGAGTCTGTTTCACAAGGTTGTCTTCTTTAGCTCTAGTTTATAGACACCGTACAGTGCAGCGCGTAACGGCAATGTACAGCATGCTCTCTACATTATCCCTCCAGCACGGTTAAAAACAAATGAATGTCACGCTACGCGAGCGCAAGCATAGTACATGCAAGTGGCTGCTTTCAACTTTAGCAGCACTTTCGCTATAACGATTCCCTCTAATTCTACAAGGAAAAACTCATGTATATCAGTTCAAACATTAATTATGTTTTTACAAATTAAGATATTAGTAAATTTGTTTTTCTTTTAACACAACTCAGAAACATAATCGGCAATTAAAGCAAAAATAGAATTTTGCCTTTGGCATGAGAACCATGAGCAACCACATAGTTTTAATTTTCAGTGCAGTTTACACTACTTTGCATGGGTTTCGTTTCCCTGAATGAGAGCCCGGCGATGTCCGAACGGAGAAGGTGACCAATATTCTTACAGAAGAAGAACAATAATTGCGGTTCAAACAAATAGATATTCAAAATATTAAAGTTTTATTTTTTTCCCACAACTCATCAGTCATTCATCGTCTGGTACACTCACACACGATAATCATTCCATGCGAAGTGAACATAATATTCATTACTGTAAATTATGCGGTATATATGGCAACGAGGCGAAAAAAAAAAATTTTTTTCCACAAATTGAGTAATTACACATTTCTAGCGAGCATATTAAGGTTCCGCATCGTTTCAAACCAGCGCATGTTGTCAACACGTGTTAAAAGCACTCGACGTGCAAAAGCAACCCCAGTGTGTAAATGTTATATTGGGTTCCCAAGGATAACCAACAGAAATGCAAATACGATCGATCCGCACAAAAGCGTAAAAGCGCACGCGATCCAATGCCGGTTGGTATTGTGGGTACTAACATGAGAAAATGAGGGGTCACGCGATGGAAATCTCGAACTCACAGTCTAATTGCTAAATATAAAAGGAATATCAAAAGGAACAGTGAAATATGTTTCTTTAGTACATGGCTGCGTCTCACAAGGACTGGGAACCACAGAATCCACGAATTTGATTGGCTGAAATCGATGTTGAAAGCGGTCTAGATTTTCCCCTCTAGACCGGCGGTCTAATTTTGCGATAAAAAAGTTGCAAACTAAAATACAAAAATATTGACTTTTTTCCTTCTAAAAATATTAGTAAAAGTGCCAAAAGGTTGATGAGAAAAAAAAAAAAGTAAAGAGACCGAGCAATTTTTTGGCAGATTTAAAAATAAGTTCACCTCATCGCCGTTCGCAAGCAAACTGTCAGCTAGTACAAACCAGTTACATTAAACAAATTGAATTTTTCTTGTTTGGCTTATAATAAACTTCTTATTAACCGAGCTTAGTCGGTCTGTATGGGAGAATCTCGACCTCAGTCGTGTGTAAAGACCTCGCTGCGTTCGTCTGTACTCACGACCTCGGTCAAGATTCTCCGATACAGACCTCCTGCTCGGTTAATAAGAGCTAAATAAATATCGTATCCATAACAAAATTTTCGATCGTGATTGGTTCTCCGCGCGCCTATTTGTCACGTAATCGGCGCGCGATCATGTGGGTGTCCAATTACAGATATCCATATTACAACTTTTTTGATTGGATACCTGTAATTGGATACCCACGTGATTTAACACGTCAATTACGCGCGCTCTAATGGCTTCTTTCTCATTTTTTCCTACAGTTTTTAAAGCATATGGAAAGCGCTATTGCCTTTTTGCTCAAACGAAATTCTCAATAGACTTTGCCGTCAATTTCAAAATTTGTTATAGATACGATTAATTAGTAATTGTACCTCTACTCGTGTCCTACAATTCAGGGAGTAATCGTACTCGTAATTTCAATAACTATTACATAAGGCAATCTCTCCGTGTTCCTTGCTTTTATCACAGTCTTGAGTAAATCCGACCTGAATACTGGACTGCACGTATCACATTGAAGAAATGGGATCAGTGACGCAACATCAGCAACTACAACAACGTGTGCAAGTTTCAAGGAAAAGAAGTAGCGAACAAGGTGACAACGGATGTTCAGAGCCAAGTAAAAAACCAAAAGAAAAAACAGCTGAGACAACCAAAGCTGATTTGGAAGATGGAGCAAACATGTCAATACAAGTTGAACAAGTGACGTTGTTATCACAGCAGTATATTTCTACTGAGGTATGAAAGGTTCCTTCATTGTTTTTGTTGCGTAATAATTCAGTGTTCTGCTGTTTTTTAGGAGAGAGAGAAGGGCATGCTCCTTTGAGTGAGGGGATAGTGGCGTTTTCTTGCGTGGGAAAGACGATTTGATATGGGCATCTTAAGAAATAAGAGGGAGAAGACCAACTGGCTGACTGACTGAATGACTGACTGTCTGACTGACTGACTGACTGACTGACTGACTGACTAGTAGAACAACCCACTCAACGACCGACCGACCGACTGACTGACTGGATAGCTTGCTGGCATAAATTATTTATTACAGTTTAGAGATCCACACAAAGGGTAGAAGGTCATGTTCTTATTTTCATTTTGTTGCCACTCTACTAGTGCAGTGGGGCTGTACTGGGATTCGTTGGTTTTGGCTTTACGACAAACGTTTATAGAAAATCCTCTGACTAACGCATTGAGGTACAACCCTAGTCGTAAACTCTTTCTTCGTTCTTCTTTACTCAAAAAGCCGCTTTCGGCACTTCGACGTACTCGAGTATCCACGAAAAAAGAACAGAACTCTTGTGCACCAGGATCAAGATGACTTCACTTTAATTCGACTCATGGCGGTGCCCAACCGTATACCGTAAGCTTAAGACTCCACCGTGAATTTTGTATCTAATCAGTTTTGTCAGACGCAAGAAGGTCTACCATGTTGTATCCAGTCGCTCCTTCGTCGTGATCGGAAGAAGAGGCGAGGAGAACCTTATAGAAACCTTGTAAAGGCCGGTTCTGTGAGACGTTCGAAAAGAGTCAATGTAGAGTTCACGGGTACTAACACGGAAGGTCCAGCAACAGGTATGTCCACGCCCGTCCGAACGCTAAATCAATATGTCTTTTTTAATCATATGGTTGTGTCTCACAAGGACTGGGAACTAGCGATTTTGCGGTGAAAAAGTTGCATACTAAAATACAAAAATTTGACTATTTTCGTCTAAAAATATTTATTTATGGAAGTGCCAAAAAGTCTGATGAGAGAAGAAAAGTAAAGAGGACGAGCAAATGTTGGCAGAGTTCATGGGCTCCCGGTTCAGCTCATCGCCGTTTCCAAGCAAAATATCTTCTAGTACAAACAAGTAACGTTAAAAGAATTGAATTTTTCTTGTTTGCCATATAATAAACACTTTACTAGCCGAGCTTACCCGGTGTGTATGGGCGAATATTGACCTTGGTCGTGTGTACAGACCTCACTGCGTTCGGTCTGTACTAAGAACTAAATATTATGTCGAATTATTCTCGCATTTTGATTGGTTGTTACTGAGATGGCGTCATAGATGACAGCATAGATGACGGCATAGATGACACCATTGACATTTTTTGTTTCTTTATTATATAAAACAAATAGATTCCATGCTGCCGTGCGTCTGTTTAATAATAGATTACAGGTAACGTCAAAATGTGGTAAGAACACTAATGACACACTCGCCTATTAAACTGCTCGTAGACCACTTTTTAGTGCAGAGTGCACTATTGGGATGATTTTGGGGGCTGCCATTCGCTGAGGCACTATGTAACTGAGGCAATAAGGTGTAAACCTTTATGACTATTTATTTAATTAAACTCAATTAATTCATTAGTCCGGAGGCAAGGAAGTGGTGGGGTGGGGTGGGGAAGGTACTTGAGTAATCTACGGTTCTTTCATTATCCCAAACCGACTCGTCAGAGATCAGTGGGAACACCCGAGGAAAATGGAACGAGATTTTCCGATTAAACCGGGCCAACCAATAGGAATGGCTCTTGCCACTTTTTATTCCTTTTCCGAATTCCCTAATTAGGGCAAAGAACCGGTTTGTCAAAAATGGAACGGCGAATTTCGATCGGATTATTCCAACCGAAATAAGTGGACCACCTCCAGAGGTGATCCCGAATAATCCGGTCGGAAGAAACCGAAACGGACCTTTCCATTTGAATTCCGACCGAAATTTCCGGAATCTTTGGCAGAATGGAAAGCACCCTACGTTAAACAAGTTCCTTTTACACCAGTTGAGTGTGATTATCGCAAAGCGATATATTTGTTTCAGGCCGTAACCGCTTGCTCTCGTTGTGTCACTATTCTCTTGCATGCGCATATTAGTTAGCGTTCGTGTCTTCCATATATTAGCGTGAGGATACATTGCATACGGGATTACTAGCCCTAGCAGACTACCAAGGTAAATACAAACCGCAAGTGAACCGAGCAGGGGTGAGTACCTGCGTGACTACTGTGCCAGAGCTATCAATTGCACTCTGCACTATCTGAGATTGTGTTACTAGTTTGTCCTTACCACATTTCGACGTCATACTACGTGGCAAATTTCTTCAAATGGATTTCAATCACGGTGATTCGTTCAACCTTTTTTACCTTCAGAATTCCACAAAAAAATGTGTGATGACAAAAAAGCGTATTTTTTGAGGTACAGGGAAAAGGAGGACGATTACTATCTGAAGGTCAAATAATCCGGCGGCGTTAATCTTCGTGTAAGTACAGTTGCATCAACAATCTTTTTCTGGCGAACGATCAGTCGCGCGTTTTATTTGCGGTAGACAGAGAAACTCAAAGAAACGCGTAGCGTCAAAAGGAAGAAATGCTGAATTGAACCAAACATGCTTCAGTGGCGCTGTTACTGACGTTGCTAACACTTGAAATAATCACGTGTTCAAAGTGGTGCTTTCTGCCGAAGGGCGAGAAGATCTGGGTTTCTGAGGCCTATCTGATCCCGCAGTATTCATCTCAAAGGTGCTAAGCAACTGTGGGAATTTTCGCGCGCTGATTGGTCGAAGGCTGTGGTAGATAAGAATTTAGACCATAAATTTGACGTACATCGGTACTGTAACTTAAGGCAAGTCTCGGAGGGCTTGAGAAATTCTTGTAACTTCTGCAGTAAACTGAAACCGTCAAGTTTCGAAGTGTATTTGGGACAGCGGGTGTCAAATTTTCTAAGAACTCGTCGGCGTGAAGCAGAACAAGAAGTGATCTTATAAACTGTCACGCGCGCGAGCGATTTCACGGTAGTTTTGCNCAAGACATGTTATTGACAATACATAATAGCATATCGAACAAAGCACCACGGGCAATCAGAAACCTTATTAATTTACGCTCATTTAAGTACAATCTCAGGTGCCAAGAATATGTTTTATCTTTACCTAAAGTTATCACTACCAAATATGGACTCAAGTCATGGAGATTCTTTGCAGCCAAGAAATGGAATGAACTATCAAATTACATTAAAATAAAAGTAGGCGCCAATGAAATAGTAAACAGTATTAGATCGCTAAACTTCGGGGATTAATAAATTTGTCACATTAATTTTAATAGTATTTTGACTGTGGCGGTAATATATATTGTAATAATAGTTTTGAATAGTTTTAATCAGTATTTAATTTGTGATTTTTACCTGATGAATTGTGATGTTAGCGTTGTTTAGTTGTTAGGTTCTCATTAGTTATTAGGTGGAATACCTGTAAACTAGCTCTCAAGCTAAGCGTATATCCACGTTAAATAAAGCATTCATTCATTCATTCATTCATTCATTCATGACTTTATATCAGTTATTGACTTAATTTAATGTTACTGTTACTGAAGTTATGACGAAAAATACGTATGTTTTGTTAGTACTAACGCATTTCGACATTGACGTAATGAAGAGATGTCAAACACAGGTCTGATAGACGAGTAGAAAATGAAAGAAATAGTTTATTAATACTAATCGTGTAAGAAGAAGGCCTTACGTGCCCCATTAAGCGCGACAAGGACTGAGGAGAAAGAATCGTGTAAGAATGATCGTTAGAAAATAAGAAACGAACAGATGGAACGAGAAATTAAACTGCCTTCCGCTTTGAATATAAACACGATCAAAGGTACTGATCATTTCTTTGTACACGTTTGTTATCAAAAAGATGACTGGCAAGTCTGATGCAAGTCAAATCTGCGCCGACGAAAATACCCAGCCTTATCACAGTGCGGTGGATTCTACGGTTTAACGTTGGGAAAACGTGTAAAGAAGCGATCGAAATGGGAATGCCTTAAAACGGGCAGTGTTCAGTTCAATCAGCCTATTTCATTTTCTGAAAATATAAAGAAAAATTGTATAGTTCAAAAGCTAAGATGGTATCCTCGGTTTTCGCAGTGCCAAAAAAGGATGTGTAGGGATTATAAAGAAAAAGAAAAGCTGTATAGTTCAAAAGCTAAAATGGTATCCCCGGTTAATGCCAAAAAAGGATGTGTGGGGATGAGGGTTGCGAATGAGGACATTTTTTGGTTATCATGAGATGATGCAAAAACAAATAATTCATATGATCTTATAATGTGCTTGATTTCGATTCATTACTAAAGTCTGAATACCCGAAGTTTCCTGCGTGGATTGAAACAAAGTTCTATCATACATGGGCATGGTTGATGTTGAATCAAGCTCCGCATGGTGCCTGTTTAAAATTGACAATTCACAATGTCACTTGTCTTAAATACTTGGAGCAAATGACATACCTATAGAAGCAGATGAAGAAAAAGTTCCTAAATTCCTTACTTATTACAACATTTGAGACCATCGCAGTAATTCTATAATATTTCGCTCACCGGAAATGGGAGACTTTTTATAGAGAAAAAAGTAAGCTGAAGATGTCATTGTGAAGTTTCGATTTTCTGTTTCTCCTAATTTTCGAAATAGGAGTGGCCAGTTGTAAGCAGAAATCATGCCATGTGGATCGGCCATAACATAGCATTTGCTTCCAGAAATTGACCTTTAAAAGGAAAACGGAATTCTAAAGATGCCAATATTTGAACTTTCACTTTTCTGTTTCTCATTTCAAAATATCAAGGGGAAGTTGGTAACATTTCAAGGAAAAGTAAACTATAAAAACAAAACGCCATTTTTTATTTTAATCAGTTTCTAGTTATAATTTTGAAAAATGAATCATTCGGATAAGATGAGTCAGCCGCGAGCAAAACTCGTTCTTTTTACATTGGTCCTTCGACATCAATCGTTGACCGGAAATTGGAGATCTCTTCGAAACTCTGAGCTTTCCTTTTCAAGTTTTTCGAAAATGAAAAATAAGCTTAAATTTTTCACTTTTTTAATTTTGAAAAAAATTAGTGATCATGACCTTTAGGGAGATATACGCACTGTAGCCATGTTTTCAGTAACATGCTCGACAGTTTCTTTCATTTTGTTTAGTCTGTTTTTATTATTTTTTTTTTTTTCTTTTAGTCAGAAGAACATGGACCCTGCTATATCCAGTCACTCTATCGTCGTGATCGCAAAGTCAGGCGCGGGGAACATAATTACGGAAACCTTTTGAAGTCCCTTTCAACAGAAGGAACCGAAATCAATGTGGCCTTCTCCGGTACAAACTTCGGCGATCCGACAACAGGTATTCAAATTTTCCTGTACTAAAGTATAAAATTACTGGCGATCCTTGCTTTGCCCAATAACTATGGCAAGTTGAACTGCTGCGAATCCAGATCTAACAGTTTTCTACTTGGCGGTCTGATTTGTGTGCCTCGTACGGTGGAAAAAACTATTTCATTATAAAGCTCGAAAACTGTACCAGCTGGGGCGACATGCAGATGCCGGGGAACTGTGTTACTGACCCACAGTTTCGCGGCCGTCAAGCGTGGCAATTTTTCGCGAGACAGTGTTTCACGGGGTTTTGGTTTTCACGATTTCAACAGGCACATATGAAAAAGGGCATTGAATTTGCGATTCAAGCGTTCTCAACTTCATTCTATTTTTCAGAAGTCTGAACTTTTTAAAATTTCAAGCGATTCAGATTAAGGTGATAGCTAAATTCTCTACTCCGGCCCATCTTTGCAAATTAACGTTATTTCACAACAGAACATACAAAATGGAACTTACCAGTACTGAACCAGTTAATAGTTTGTGTATTTGTCGAAAAATATCCTGTATGTGTTGTTGTTATTACACGATTAATCATTTTTTTTTTCTGTGATTTGGATTTTCCAGTTAAATTTCACGTGTTTAAATTTCTCGAGGATTTTTATTCGCGCGGGTCTTTAATTTCGCGATTTATTTACAATCGCGAAAATCGAGAAATTAAGTACCAATAAGGGGGTCCTTTAGGGAATATTGAAAGGTCCTGGCTGCTACGACACAGGAACATCAACGAATACAGAATTGCGTTCTCCTTCTTAAAACTCAAAAATAGCTGCAAAGTTATCACTGTGTTTCCTACATCTAGTATTCCATCTTGAAGCAAGTAATAAAGACAAAGGAGCAAAGGCCATAAGGTACGACGGCAACTACTATCTAGCTGTGGACACTGATGACCACGTGAAACTTCGTGTAAGTCAGATCGATTCATTAAGTTACCTAAAAGGGCGTGGTAAGGTTCTTTACGCGATTGTACTGCAACAGATACATTATGATTCGGGGTGGGCGTACAATAATTAAAATAATTGCCTTTTCGAGGAGACTCCGCCCGGAAAAGGTTACCTTTCTCAGACTTCAGGTAGGGATGGTAGAGATTTCACGAGTTGAGGTATATGAAAGGGTCGGGAAATCTAATATTTCGAACAGAAGCATCTAGAGCCTGTATCTGGTAATGCTTAATGTTTTCCCGTAAAATTGTTCATCAACTTCGTCAAAGGGGTTTTAGGTGAAAGAGGTACTTTTTTCCAAAAAAAGGTACACGAAACGGGTACGTTTTCTGTTCCAATTGTATACAAAAGGGTAAGGGGTTGAGCTTCAGGGCGGAGACTTTTTAGAGTATCCCCCTCTGGAGGTACGTTTTTTTTTGTTTTTTTGTTTTTGTTGTTGACAGGGTGTGTAATGTTGTTTAAGTCCGGTCAAAACTCGGTCTGAATCTATCTTTAACAGGGAGAGATTGTTGTCGTTAAACGTGGTTCAAACAGTATTTAACAAGCCAAGCTCGGAAACGTGGTCTAAAGTCAACATGATATAATTTCAAGTACAAATAGTACTCGTGGGGTTTTCGGTATCTTGTAATCTGTTATACGGGATCTTAGCCCTCGAACGTACAAGGGGAATGGGATGTGGAGGCTACCCCGGCCCTCCCCTTATGGTTTTTTCAAATTTTTGAAAAACAAAACTTACTCTAGGGGGCTGAAACTTTCAATAGCTGTTCATTAATCCTCTGCGGTTATTGTGACATGTCAATTTTGTGTCTATCATTTTTTACGTTGCCATGGCAACCATCGAATCCCATGTAGTTTTGGCCAAAAATCAATTTTTTTGACACGATTCTGTATTTTTTCCAGTTTTCATCATTAGTAGAAATTCACGAGTTTGTACATTTCATAAGCTTTATGATTTGATTTTGTATTAATTTTCGTTATTTTTTGCCTTCTTTTAAAAAAAAATATTGAAATTCAAGATGGCGCAAACACTGAACAAGATGGTAGGTCAAATAGCTTCAAATGACGTCATTTGACGCCATATAACGTCACGACCAACAAAAATGGTATCATCTTGTAGAGGAAACTCAAGACTATCTAGTTAATGTAAATTTATTGCGCTGTGCCCTAACAGAACGAAAACCCAGAGGGGGTTCCATCAACCCCCCCCCCTTCCCTTGTAACGTGGTGGGGGTATGAGTTAGCTTGTACGTCCGAGGGTTAGAATAGGGTGTGTTGTCCTACTGGTGGCAGTACTTTAGGTTTGCCCTGTGAAAAATGGGATCGGGATTTCAAACCCTCGGCGACTTCTCCATACCCAAGTATAGGCCAAGTACCCCCTCCCCCGGATTTAGGACGGTGCTCTGAGGAGTTTTCAAAGCAGCAGCATAACATTCTTTACGTGACTGATTTGTAGTCGTTGATTTGAAAATCTGATCGAAACAACTATCATCTGCATCAATGCCAGCTTGTCCTGACTGGGTTGGGCTTCGCAGGCACACAGGTATAGAATTATATAATAAGACTGTTTTCTTTCCTTTCTATTATCAACAGAAATTAAAAAGCTTCCCCTCAGAAGACAAATATTTCTTTCATATCAAACAAACGAACCCTGGGCGATATCCTGTCACCATCCAATCAAAGATAGCAAAGGGGCCGTATCTACACTGTGGAAAGGAAGGCAAAGTTTCCGCTTACGGAGAGCCTGATGATTTACAGACGTGGTTCGCGATCGTGCCGTATGGATGCGAATACATCCAGAAAGAGGCGTATGAGATGAGTTACACAGAATGCGAAACCGTTACGACTACGAAAGCATTTGAAGACACTGAAGATTCAGCAAAGGGGATATCCTTAGGGCACGAAGGTGGCGCTTCTGTAGATCCAGACGAAGGGAACTACAATTATCGAGTAAAACGCAATTCTGTTGAACCAGGGAGGGGGAAATCCGAGGGTACCGGGGAGGGGACCCCCGACGACCTGAAGAAAGGAAACTCCCAGGAATCCGGAACGGATGTCCTTGAAGATCCGACGGAGGAGAGCTACCCGCACGGGGACGAAGCGACATCCGTTTAAGAACTCAAGGAAAGATAGCATAACTCTCTATAAAACGTTTAACAGCACGGCGCTCTTATTCTTACTATATGTTTACCTGAGCTTACTGTAAGAGAGAGATGTAAAGTAAGACAAATATAGAGTATACCTTACGCTAACTTTAAGGAGAACATTCGAAAGAGAAAATGTTAAAATGTATCGGAAGATAGGCGCACGATTCCAAGCTGCGATGATTCGGTGGCTTGTGCTGCGTGAAGGTATTAAACAATAAAAAAATCCTGTCTTCAATGACAGTAACAGCATTAAACAAGTTCTTGTTTTGGGATTTTTGACTCCCGTTCGCAATTTAAAACTAATAAACTCCGATTGAATGAACTGAGCCGCAAAAGTTCCAGTGTGTTACTTGCACACAGCACTTGGAGTGGTTGGGAAAATGAAGGTTGGCGAACAAACCTATTCTAAAGAATAGACATCGACCACACTTTTCCACTGGCGTTTTTAATGACCTCGAATAACAAACTTATTATAATGTAGCTTAATCAGTATTTCCGATTTCACTTTCTCTTGCTCGTTGATTTCTACCTAGCTCCTTTTCCTCTGATCTGGCGTAAGGCTTCTTGACGCTAAAAGTTTAAGGCGGCCTGATATACAACTCGAACCTGATTCTGCCGGCCAGCAGAATTCATCTAAGCGATATCCAAGCGTATTAACCTTGTGGGAGGTTTATCTTAGCCATGGATTTAAGGCACAGAAAATAACAGTGAAACTGTCACGATACACGATTTTGTTCCCACACTGACAATTCATTTTTTAAATAGTGTTTTCTGTGTACCAAGGCTTGGGGATTAAACTACCTTCTGAGGGGTACAGCATTTCTTAAATACTGTCAAGTTGTTTTAAACATCGCCAGTCTCTGAAGAATCTGAAAACTCAGTCCTCGTCGAGTTAGAAGACGTATTTATCTGCCAACACGCGCGCAAAAAAGCACAGTGAAACATTAAAAAACTACTAATATACACAAAATTGGGCATATATTTTGTACGTAAAGAATTTGGGTGATTGAGAAAGATTCCTCGTAGTGCAAATGCATTCGATGGCCATTTCATTTATCATGAGATCATCACTTGTGAAACGTTGTTAATTAAACATGTGGCGAGTCTAGCTTAGCAGATCATATAATTAGCCGTGACAAAACAGGCAGCCGTTTTGTCGTAAGACTTCAGACGAAAACCGTTTGAACTATGATAACCAAAATAGCAACGAGAGTCGAAACGAAATTAAATATGTGGAAACAGCTCGATCGAAAGGAAAACATTGTCTTTTTGCTCCTTGTTTTCAAAGCGTAGATGCTCTCTGCTGAAAGTTTTATGACCTCACTCTGCTCTCCTGCTTGCTAGTAATCGATGACATATTTATAATATCATCAATAAGCTTGTGGCGAATCTATCTTAGTTCTAAAGAACCTGGAGTTGAATTCACGGTTAATAGCCTGACAGTGCTATAAATTCGAGGCAAAATAGTGAGACAATCTTTATACCACGAAGACTGTGGAACTCTGCAGGCTCTTTTGTTCTTCAAACCACCACCTCTGCACAGATCTCACAATATTTTTCATTTCAGAAGGTAGGATAGCTGTTCATGATAATACAAGCGTTGAGAATAGAGGTAGGCAATGACTTTCTAATAATTTACGCCTTGATGGTCGGGGAGACTTCCGTATAGAGAACTCTGTTCACGAATTAGTATGCTGTTGGCGGAGAGACCGCGTTCACTGAATTGCCCGGAAAAAGACTTGTAAGCTGAATTTCGAAAATTCTGCTTTTCCCGCCAGCACGGCATAAATGTAGTTTTACAGATCAAAATCTCAATGTCGATTCTAATATTTTACTTAAGAGGAGCTTACGCTCAGGGAAAAAAGGCACTGAAACGAAGACAAACGGAAGTTAAAGTTACTGTTGGAAGAGGTGGTAAAGGGCATTTTCGTGACTCGTGATCGGCCCTTTTTTTTTTCCCCGTGAAACATGAAATGACCAATTTTTTCCTCGGGAATCGTGATTTCCATAGTCGCCGTGCACCGTGATTTTCCGAAACGTTCTCTTTTATTTTTCGTGAAGCGTGAAATGCCAATGTCGTATTTTTCGTGAATTGTGAAAGGGCTGCTTTATTTTCCGTGAAACGTGATCTATACCCCCCCCCCCCCCCCCCCCCCCCCCCCCCCCCCCAACATAGCCTTTTAATCTTCCGAAAAGTTNCCCCCCCACCCCTTTACCACCCCCTTGGAAATCTAAGACATAGGAAACATTGCTGTGAGAGAACAGTTACTTCCACGATAGTTTCTTAACAGCCCCGGAACAGAAGACTGCCTCATAATGTGGCGTTAGCCCAAATGGGACGGGGTGGAGAGACGATCACTGATTCTGGGTGTCCCTCCCAAGATCTGTTTGCAGTTCGTTTCCAAGAATAATGGATTTTCAATCCTTTAATGGCTCCAGTTATTCCTGTAGAATTAAAACTTTTTTTAACCCTCTCCTAATCGCTTTAAATTTTCGTTTTCCAAGAGACCTTGCTTCTCTGAAGCTCGAAACGCAACCAGGGGTATATTCTTACGCTTCTATGGCCTTCCATTGCAAAGGAACATAAATGGACAAAATTAGTGTTTAAAATATAATACAAAACGCAGTCAGTTAAACAGCTCATTCTGCTGTCGGGGTTACGAAAATCGTTCTCGTTTCTGTATAAATATTGTAAGCCACTCATCACTGTTTTAGCTAGCTATTTCAAATAGCTGGCTAGGCTACAGTCACTCTACAACACTTTGACTTTCATAATGATGTCAGATTCAGATTTTTTCAGATTTTTATTGTTTTGCACTATTGCATTTCACTTTTACAGGAATTCAAAAATGATAGCTATTCTGTGTGCTTTGCTCTTCGTTTTGGTTCATGGATGTGCGGGTTGTGATACGGTTAAGTATTGTGGTTTTCTTTCTTTATACAAAATTAATGAATGTTCGAATTTGTCGGGAACTCTAAAATATCTTGATGAAGGGATGAAAGTGATCGAAAGTGACCCTCTCTTAGTCTCTGTAGTATGACACGATTAAGAATATAGTCCATCCCCATGGAAAGGATCGCCTTGTCCCGTTTAGATGTTTTGAAAGCAACCACATGATGTTTTCGAAGCGCTTTCGAAACTATTCATTTCTTCCGAGAAGCAAGAATTGTTCTCGAACTGAATTTTAAATAAACTCTTGACAGTTTCTTTCCTTTCTCTTTTACGGATATGTAGTCACATCCCGCGTGGATCTATGCGACCAGTCGCGCGAGTTCCGGTGCCGGAGCCTTTCTGAAGGTTCAGACTGGAGGAAGTTCAAAAGTCCGGAGTGTGTCGTTCACAGGTTATGGCCTGAAAGATCCTGCTACAGGTATTCGACGTTTTCTGCACTCTCATGTACAAAAGTAAATATTCTTCCTTCAGTTAAAGAATGACTAAAGACCAGGGCGAACACGCCCTTACCACTGACTCCTTCCTCTTTCCACCCAACATTAAAACGAAGGTTAGCAAGTGCAGGTTAGCAAGAGCTGGTTGGGTTAAGGCAAACTGAACCGTCAATTGAAATTCTGTACCTTACCAAGGGGATGGTTATTTAACCCAGCAAAATTTAGAGGGGCACATAAAGATGCTAAGATTTATGTTGGAGGCTCCAGGCGTTTAGAGGAACAACCTAAGATGTTAAGATTTATGTTGGAAGGTCCAGGAGCTTAAAGCGGGGGCACCCAACGGATCGTTTCGGTAAATTATCTGTTCGGAAGGCCTTTAATCACCTCTGATTTTCTGAAGAGAATTGTCACCTCGAACTTTCGTGACATGAGAAATTTAATATATGTTGTTTTCGGATTATAAAAAATGTGGTTTGGGGCGCCGAAAAAAGGTCCGCTATCATTTCCGGAAAGGCGATAAGACCTAAGGTTTTCGGGGAATGGACAAAAAAGTCCTAATAAATTCGAGAATACTCAAGTTCCCCTAGAATAACCGAACAGATAAAACTTTTTAGCGCAACTTAAAATTGACCTACAGAACTTCAAAAGTACTCCAGATAGCCTAAAACAGCGTTTAAAAGCATTTGAGAGAAAACGGTCGTTGGGTGCCCCTGCTTAAAGGAGCAAACTAAAATGCAAAGATTTCGGTTGGAAGGTTCAGGAGCGTGCATAATATCTTGTTTGGCGCTTATATATCACGCATGGATTACGTAACCAAAACGTATCTTTTGGTTAGTTGCAATACTGACAGAAGACGGTCAAAGCCAAAAAAGTGACCAAAAAAATACAACGAAGAGCTTTTTCGGTCTTCATAACCATTCCCCTTTGTTAACTATGGCTTTATTTGACAGTTTGTTTTAATAATATAATCGCGCTTTACTTTCAGATTTACACATTGAAAAGGACAACGTTAGAATGAAGATCGCCATCAAGTACCTTGAAGGGAACAACGATTACTATCTCTCTGCAGAAAGCGCGGGCAAAGTACAATTTCGTGTAAGTTTCATTGGAGTAACATTAATGTTGTGCGGGGTGAGTGAGGTAATAGCCATTAGAGTTTCAGAGGTAAGGCGTGACATGAAACGGCTGTCTAACCACGCATGCGTGAAGCAGTCAAATGATATCCACAGTTGGGGTTATATATACAAATGACAGTTGATGGAGAAACAGGACTGATTTTTCGCGTCGAAGTAGTGTGAAACGCTTGAGTCCTTACACTATTTTATGGTTGAACAACAAAATTTTGGAAATTTAACTACTTCAACGAAAATCAACCAAAAGTGGCACTTGGTGATGCACATACTCGCGCTTGTTGGATTTAGATGACTACGATAGCCATCGAGGCTATCTATCATCTCTTATAATCCATCACATTTTTTTGCTTGTGCGCGATTGGTCTAAACGCTTCACGTGACTAAATATTCCCCAGCTTAAACTGGGGAAAATCCGAGTGATATCAAAACTGCATGTGTTGCGAAAAGTATTGGAAGGACAATAAACACAATAGCCTCCATTTGGTGAGAAAATATCCTCGGATATCTGTTCCTCAAAGCTCACAGTTTTTCTCGAGCTACGCTCTCGGAAAACTGTTCGCTTCTAGGAACAGATAATGTCCGATGGCAAATATCCGAGGATATTTCTTCTCGAAATGGAGGCTATTGTTTATTTATTATCCAACAGCAGCGAATACAGTCCAAATAACGGTACAAATATACAGCGATATTGTACAGTAGAAATCCTGTTTGCCGGACAGGTCGGCGCACGCACGCACACTCT